ATGACTAAAGATGCTAATGGACCTAACCAAAAAAATGGCCGGAGATGGGAGACAAAAGAACAAGAAAAAGTGTGTAGGTGCAGTCCATCCACGGCACTGTAGAAGGAGACACTGCGAGCCTCATGATCTAGGTAAACCCCCACCCGGAGAAGAGCTGGTTCTTTGTTAGGGGGATCTAAAGGGAGGCTTGTTAGGGGCCGATAGCCAGCTGAACTCCACTGAATAGCCCAGATTCCCGAATGGGGGGACATTCTTGAACTATCAGTAATCCCCATGATGTCCTCCTGACACACCCCTGCAGCAATCTCCAGGCCACCTCTATTCTCAACTTCCCAGTAATGCTTCCCTGAGGTGAAAATGTTTTTTCCCAGAACACAGGGTAAGTGTTGAAATTTCTCAACAATGTGTGTGGTCTTCTGAGAATTCTTCCAACCAGCAAAGTAGTTCCATGCTGTAGAAAATACTGGCCATGAACTCTCTGTTGCTGCATTTTTCACGTATCTCCCTTCCTGGGCAAAGACAAGTTTGGGATGAGCTGTCTCTTCAGCTACATTTACAGCCACTGCAGAGAAAATGAGAGTTGAGATAAGTAATGTAGCAGCTTATCACCAACCCTTCTCCAGAAATGTCCCTGTTTTCCAGCATCACTTTCCTCCTGCTCTTCCCCATAAGCACTGTTAGGGATGACTCCTCAGCTGAGCCTAACAAGCCCTAGAATGGCCTTTCCCAACCAGAAATCCTCATTTCCCTTCTACTCTTAAAGAGTAAGTCCCAGAAAATGGGGAGCTCATTATTCCATGGCTCAAGTCTTCACAATCAGCATAAAATTTGGAAAGAGATTAACAAATTCTGACTTGTTGAATCAGGACTAGAACGAAGGCTGTGGTTCCTTCTTTGTATAAGTACACACAGATGTCACATAGATGACATTACATGAGTAACTGTCTAACAACTTGGTTAAGATTGTTTTCCTCTCAAATAGCCTAACAGGATTCCTGATAAGGCATAGTTGTGTGTGTAGAGAGAGACAGAGGAATCGAAATAAACACTACCCCTCTTCAACTGGAATTATGAACTGTGTGTTTATGCAAGACCCTGTGCCTTCCCAAACCACCCAGGCACAATTTCTTTAAAATTAACTCTACTTCATGTTGGAGTTTTTTTTTTTTTTTTTTTTTTTTTTTTTTTTTTTTTTTTTGCCCAGGCTAGAGTGAGTGCTGTGGCCCTAAGTTTTAGGAAAAGTCACAAAAGGCTCAAGCAATCCTTCTGCCTCAGCCTCCCGAGTAGCTGGGACTACAGGCATGCGCCACCATGCCCGGCTAATTTTATATATATATTAGTTGGCCAATTAATTTCTTTCTATTTATAGTAGAGACGGGGTCTTGCTCTTGCTCAGGCTGGTTTCGAACTCCTGACCTCGAGCAATCCGCCCGCCTCGGCCTCCCAGAGTGCTAGGATTACAGGCTTGAGCCACCGCGCCCGGCCTCATGTTGGAGTTTTACAGGATAAATCCATCCTTAGGTCCAGGAGGGTTGGATGATACCCAGTCATGATGATGGGTGGCTCATTATGTATAATAAAAAATGACAACATCTATTTCTCACTTCTGCAAAGGTAAATGCTTCTCAATGAAGACATAACTTTACTCCCAAACCTTAAGTGTTATCTTCCTGAAGATGCCTCTAAAGCTTCATGACATGTTTTAACTAGTATGGAAATGAAAGTACAGAATTTGTCCTTAGTTTTGGCATTCTGAGGACCACTAGACTAGACCTCAGGAAAGTTCACTGAGACCTCTATGTTTGCATAGGAGTAATCTCTGGCTATCTGAGATGAGTAAGTCTTACCAAGGCATCGACTGCATTATTCCTTTTTATGTTTCTCCCTCTTGAGTTAAATATCATTAATGCCATATGTGATAGTAAAGTGATCTAGGTCCCTTTAATTCATTAATTCATGCAACAAATAGTTACTGAGCACTTATTCTGTGTCTGGCTCTTTTCTAGGCACTGTTGAGACAACAGCAAACAAAGCCAGATTCTTGCCCTCATGGAGTTTATATTCTAGGAAACAAACAATAGCTATAATATAAATAATATAATATTATATGACATCATGCTAAGAAGCATTTTAAAAATCAATTAATAGAAGGGCACAGACAATGAAGAGTGTGATGCTATAAACAGGGTGGTCAGGGAAGCCTATTTTGGCAAGGTAACATTTCAGAAGATATTCAAAGGAAATGAGGGAGTGTCTAGCAATTCCAAGACCTGGGAAATGACATGGGCAAAGGTTAAGTGGAAGCTGGCATGTCCAAGAAATGGCTAGGGGTCGAATGTGACTGACATGAGGTAAGCAAGGATTAGCAGATGAAATGGGAGAAACAGCCATGGGCCAGGTAATATAGGGTGTTTCAGGCTCAGATAGGCCCTTTAAATTTTCTTTACATAGCATATAGGGAGAATTTAAAACATTTTAAGTAGTAGAATGAAATGATCTATCTTTTGAAGGATCATTCTAGCCATTGTGTTTTGAATAAGAGCACAAGAGGGATGCAAGTTAGGAAGCAATAGTTCAGGAAGGATATGATGGTGAAAATGGTAATGTGTAGTCATTGTCTTGGTCAGTTCAGGCTGCAATAACAAAAATACTGTAGATGGGATGGCTTAAGCAACAGAAATTTATTTCTCACAGTTCTGGAGGCTGGAAGGCCCAAGATCAAGGTGGACCACATTCAGGGTCCACTGGGGGCCTGTTTCTTAGTTCATAGGTGGCCTTGTTCCTGCTGTGTCAGCACAGGAAGGAAGGAGTAGGAGAGTTATCTGGGGCCGCTGTTATAAGGGCAATATCCCATATAAGGGCTTCACTTAAAGGCCCGACCTCCTAATACTATCATACTAGTGGCCAGGATTTCAACGTGAATTTTGAGAGGACACAAATATTCAGTCCATAACAGTCATATTTGGAATATATTTTGAAAATAAAACCAACAGGATATTGAGAGTGAGAGAAAAGGAAGACAGCTTTAGACAGTCTAAAGCTTTTGACCTAACAACTGAGTTGATTTTGGTACCATTTACTGGGAAGGGAAACTCTGAAGGGAACAGTACATTTGGGGGTGGATTTGGTTCCGGCCATGCGAAGCTTAATTTGCTTATTAGAAAGTTAGGGGAAATATAGACTTGGAGGTTTGATATGTGCATCTGGAGTTCAGCAGAAAGGTAAGAATGGAAATGTACATTTAAATAACAAAACCATACAAGATTACTTTGGAAATGGGTGAAAACAGGGAAGAGGCCTGAGGACTAAACTTAGGGCAATCCAATATTACAGAAGTTACGATGATGAGAAGACATGAAGGGCCAATGAATTTGGGGTTGAATTGAGTGCAGTGTCCAGTGAAGAAAGTGCTTCAAAGAAGAAGGCATAATCAACTTTGTCAAAGGCTGTGAAGTGAACCAAAAATTGCCCATTGGCTGTGTCAATGTAGAGACCATTTGCAATATTCATACGAATGGTCTCCATAGAGCGATGATGATAAAAAGCCAACTAAACTGAGCTCTGGTGAGAAAAGAAGCAGAAAAAGTGGAAATATTAAGTAGGAAATAAAAAACTGTTTCAAGGAATTTTTTTGTAAAACTCTTTAGGCTTTGCAGGAATGAGGGAAAGATTCTTTCTAAGATGACAGCTATAAAAGTATGTCTATGTGTAGGCTGATATTACTGATTGAGTGGGGAAGTTAATGATTCAGAAGAGAGGAGGAGTAATTTCAAGAGCAAGATCCTTAAGATCTGATGCATAAATGAAAAGGATGCCATAGATAAGAGATACCTGCAGATAAGATGGTTATAATTACAATGTTAGACCTTCTCCATGTTGTTAATCCAAATAATCCTGACCCCAGTGGATAAATTCCACTGTTGCCTGTGCCTGGGCTTGTTCTGTGGATGATTGGGCAGTAGGTGGATATGGTCAATAGTCTCCAAATAGATTTCTTCAGTGTTCCCACTGATTCTGTCATCTTTCCAGCCTCCCTGCAATAAAATTCTTTTCTGCTTAGATCATTCACAGTCCATTTCTCTTGCTTCAAAGTAACACCCACAACTAACATAGAATTTCAGATAACCCTATTTTTCCCATTATACATATGAGATTACTGAGGCTGAGAGAGCTTAAGTAACCTACTATGTATCACACTGTTAGCAAGTGATACTCTGGTCTCATCCAAATCATTCTGATTCTGAATCACAAAGCTAGAAACCCTCAGAAAACAGAAAGGTGAAATAATGAAAATGAAGATTCCTACCTGATATGGCAGGACCATTGTAGACCAAATAAAGGCACAATATATGTTTTAAAAATGTTAAGTTTCACAGGGGAAGATTTTGAACACCTAGTATAGCACATGAATCACACTAGGCGCTCAATAAATATTTCTTAAATAAAACATATAAGAATTATATATATATATGTATGTATTACTATGGTGTATATATACAAAATGTATTACTCCTTCCTTCTGAATTCTTATACATTGTGATTGAAGGAACGCTAAGGGTCTATGAATATAACTTTTATATCATCCTTCCTTCCTTTAAAACAGCTTTTAATCACCCTTCATTGCCCATGCTTCCAATATGAAGCAATTTTATACTCCATAAATAAATACCCAATTTTATACTCCATAAATAAATACCCTTTGGTGGCATGTTTTATATATGTTTTTGTTAATGAAGATAATAATAGGAAAAGGACTTTGTATCTTTGTCTTGCTATGTTTCTTCAGAGGGCGCTGGCCTTTATATGTCTTATTTTAAAGGGATTATTGCTAAGTTTTTGCCTAAATCTCTAAAGATCTCAGATCATAGTCCATGATGCTTGATTGACTGACACCAAGTTAAAATAGTAGAATTTGTGTAAACCACAACATTCTTGCAGTAGTCAAAGAGCATCAGGGATGTAGATGCGTGAAAAACCTTAGAGTTATAGCACAATCAATTTAAGGAGCTTTTCCCATTCCACTCTAAACCCAGGCAACTCTAATGCAGTCACTGGGTGATAATATCTCTTCTCAACACTTTCCTCAGAGCCTTAGCTACATCCTTATTCCGAAGAGTATAAATCAGAGGATTCAGTGTGGGAGTAATGATGCTATAGACCACAGAACCAACTTTGTCTTGCAGTGGAGTGTGCTGAGACCTGGGCCTCATATATGCAAATATGCCACCACCAAACCAGAGGGAAACAACAGTGAGGTGAGAGCTACAAGTGGCAAAGGCATTTCTCTTGCTCCCAGCTGAATGCATATGAATAACACTGTGGAGAATAAAGGCATAGGAGGTAGAAACCAGTAAGATAGGGAGGAGGACAAGGATGATACTGCTGACATACACTGCATTCTCATAAAAAGAAATGTCACCACATACCAACTTCAAAACAGCTGGGAACTCACAGTAGAAGTGGTGGATTTTCCGAGCCCCACAGAAAGGGAAGTGCATCAAGGTCACTGTGTGAAGGAGGGAGTTCACGGATGCCCCTAACCATGACATGGCAGCCATCATCAGTCCCACCTTTTTGTTCATGAGCACAGAATAACGCAGTGGATGACAGATGGCGACATAGCGGTCATAGGACATGAGAGCTAGAAGAAGGCACTCCGCACCACCCAAGGACAAGTAGAGGAAGTGCTGGGCAGCACAGCCCACAAAGGAAATGGACTTCTCGCCCGAGAGGTAGTTGGTAGCCATCTTGGGGATGGTCGTGGAGATGTGCATCAGGTCCATGAGGGAGAGCTGGCTGAGCAGGAAGTACATCGGTGTGTGAAGCCGGGGATCAGCGCAGATGAGGAGAATGGTGAGACTGTTGCCACTGACTGCAATAAGGAAGACCACCATAGTCAAGGAGAAAAGGAAAAGGTGAGTGAGAGAGTCATCAAAGAGCCCCTCAAGGATGAAGTCAGCCAGATAGGTCTGATTCCTCTGCCACATGTCCCCGTTCTCAGTCCCTGGGGAAACAGAGAGAGGAGACGAAGGGTGACTCCAGAAGTGCTGGGGTTCAGACTACCTGACAAAAAACACTTTAGATTGAAGGAAGAATTTGTGAAGGGAGTTGTTTTTTCTATTTCAAATTATTCAACAGCTCTAATCATTGAAATAACTTTTTTAAAAAAGAGAAAACTTAAAATCCGTCTTCACAAGCATGATCACTCTGATTCTAGAGTATATTAAGTGCCAGACTTCTAGGCTGATCTCATTAAGGAAAATATACGCATGTGTGTGCATGCTCACAGGGGCATGTATATGTTTATGTATACACACACACACACACACACACACACACAAATAGGTTTGGGAGGGTTTGTGGACAGTTTCAGGGTGTTCAGTTTTTATTGGGGGTTTTATCTTTATTTTATCAGTGAGGTTTTAACCAAAGATTCTGAACAGGTTCTACATATACATACATATTAGAAACAAATTTTGTTAGGAACTTTGGCCTTACACAGTTGTGGAAGCTGGAAAGGCTTTGTGTGTGATGCTAGAACTTGAATTCCATGGGGCAAGTGGTCAGGAAGGAAAGCTGGGTGTAAAGGGGGAAAGATCAAGGACAGGTTGGAACCCACAAGCATGAGTTGGAACCCACAAGCATGAGCTGTAACCCACAAGGGGAGGCTGAAACCCATGTCAGTTCTTGTTGCCTCTGCAACAGGTGGCAAAGGAAGACCCAGGGGCCCATAAACAGATACAGGCCCAGCTGCTGCTTCACACCACTGAGGTGAGTCAGAAGATCAGTAACAACTGTGTAAATGGCAAAACAGCTGCTTTCCTTCAGATCTTTAAATCTCCCAAGCATCTCTTCTTGGCCCACCTCAACTAGAAACACACGAAAAAAAGGATTTTGGGAAAAGTAGTTCATCCTAGCCAAGACACTATCTTCTGTCAATTTGGCACACATACACATCTCCTTAAGTCACACTTAATCTCTAAATAAATAGAACAAGTTCATCTCTCTAATATGATCCAACCACTTGCATGCAATGAAACACATGCTAACCTTTTCCCCAGAAGAAAATACAAAGGTAGATTGGGGGATTTTTCGTTTCTTTGTTTGCCTCTAGATAATGTTTGTTCTTTCCCTAACTGCGTCATATGTCCTATTGTGTATTTTGTAACTTAAACCAAAAATATTTGATTAATATATATGTAAAATATTTATATAAAAACAAAGAAAAGTAATCATCATTATTATCTACAGCATAGATCATCTTATACAAGTGCTAAACCATTCCTTGGATGCCAGCCCCCTTTTTCCCAGTCACTCCTGTCATTGGCCAATGGACCCATGAACAAAGCAGCCATGGAAGCATGGATAAAGATTTTGAATGGCTTCAGCAACATGAAACACCCACCAAGGCCAATCTGGCTACAGCTTCTGCTGAGTGCCCAATGTGCCAACAGCTGAGATCAACACTGAGTCCCCGAGATGGCACCCTTCCCGGACTGATCAGCCAACTACTTGGTGGCAGACTGGTTACACTGGACCACTTTCAAGCAGGATGGGATAGTGCGTTGTTCTTACTGGAAAAGACACTTACTCTGGATATAGATTTACTTCCTGACCTGCAGTGCTGCTGCCAAGTGTACTATCTATGGATTCATAAAATGCTTTATTCACCATAATGGTATCCATGCAGCACTGCTTCTGATGAATGGACTCGTTTCACAGCAAACAAAGTGTGGAAATGGGCGCATGGTCGTGGAATTCACTGGTCTTAATTTATGTCCTCTATCGTCCTGCAACAACTGGCCTGACAGAACTGTAGACTGGCCTTTTCAAGATCAGCTAGTTGGCAACACTTCCAGTGTTGGGACAATGTCCTCCAGGATGTGGTGTATGCTCTAAACCTGCATCCCATTTATGGTGCCATTTCATCCATAATGAGCATTCACAGGACCACAAATCAAGGGGTAGAAAGTGTACATTCTCTCACTATAACCTCTATAACTATGACCCACCAGAAAAATTTTTCTGGCCTGTCCCTGCACTTTGAGGTCCTGCACTTTTAGAGCTCTTAGTTTCAATGGGAGAAATTCTTCCACCAGGTGTCACAACAATGATTCCATTTACTTAGAGTGAAGACTGCCACCCTGACATTTGGGGCTCCTCCTTGCACTGACTCAAGGTAAACAAGGTTTGTCTATTAACTGGTCTGATTGATCCTGACCCACAAAGGGAAACCGAGTTACTACTTCACAATGCAAATAAGGAGACATCTGGAAACAGGAGATTTTCTACGGTGCCACTTCATACTCCCATCTCCAGTGATGTAAGTAAATAGAAAACAACCCAATTCACAGAGGACTGTTAGTGGCCCAGATCCTTCAGAAATGAAGGTTTGCATCATTTGAACCTTCAAATGAAGGTTCCACCAGACAAGGAACCATGACCAACTGTAGACAAAGGGAAAAGGGAATGGGTAATGAAAGAAGGTAGTTACAAATACCAGCCATAAACATGTAAGCAGCTATGAAAACAAAAACTGTTAATAGTTATGGGCATTTCTTTTTTTTTTTTTTTTTTGAGACAGAGTCTCGCTTTGTTGCCCAGGCTAGAGTGAGTGCCATGGTGTCAGCCTAGTTCACAGCAACCTCAAACTCCTGGGCTCAAGCAATCCTGCTGCCTCAGTCTCCCGAGTAGCTGGGACTACAGGCATGTGCCACCATGCCCGGCTAATTTTTTCTGTATATATTAGTTAGCCAATTAATTTCTTTCTATTGATAGTAGAGACAGAGTCTCGCTCTTGCTCAGGCTGGTTTCGAACTCCTGACCTCGAGCAATCTGCCTGCCTTGGCCTCCCAGAGTGCTAGGATTACAGGTGTGAGCCACCACGCCCGGCCAGTTATGGGCATTTCTTTGCTATTTTGTATATGTAAGTGTGTGTATATACTTACATATATGATGATTTTTCTTTTCTCTTCTCTGTCATTGCCTTATCTAACATAAGAGGTATTAATAATAGTTCACTCATATCTCAGTATTTAAGTTATGGGATATAATAGGGAGACTATAAATTAGATAGGAGTGGAATGAATTTTACCCAAAGAAAAAAATAGGGATTCTATATCCTTTTATGGGAAAGGCGTTTTATATCTTCTTCTTCTTGGAATAAGGTTAGCATGTTTTGGGTTGTACAGGGAATAGTTGTATCAGGTAAGGTATAAGCATAACTTTGGCATTATCTTTATTTGGAGATCAAGTGTGATTTAAAAAGTGACACATATGGTACCAAGATGACACATAACATAGCCACCATACTTATGTACCTGAAAACCAACCAGAAATATGCCCCAGATATACTTGAGAGTCTTCAAATTATGAATCAGGCTGATAACACTGGATTGTAACATTTAATCAGTCAAACTTCCCAATCTGCCCTGTATTCAATTGTCACATGAATACTCATCAGAATGAGAGCTTAATCTTCATGATGAAGCATGATTCAAAAAAATTGATCCTCCAAATATGTACCCTATCCTTCTTGGTCATTGTCCTACTAGACATCTCACTAGACATCCATGCATTGCAGATTACCTACTAACATTATAAAGCAAAGAACTCTTTCTTTAATTTTTTTTATTTTAGCGTATTATGGGGGTCCAAGTGTTAAGGTTACTTATATTGCCCATGGCCCCCTCCCCCCTCGAGTCAGAGCTTCAAGCATGTTCATCTCCCAAACGTTGCACATCTTACTCGTGGTTGTATACACCCATCCCCTCTTCCCCCCTCCCACCCTCCCAACACCCGATAAATGTTACTCCTATATGTCCACTTAGGTGTTGATCCGTTAATACCAATTTGCTGGTGAGTACATGTGGTGCTGGTTTTTCCATTCTTGAGATACTTCACTTAGTAGAATGGGTTCCAGCTGTATCCAGGAATATACAAACGGTGCTATATCACCATTGTTTCTTAAAGCTGAGTAGTATTCCATGGTATACATATACCACATTTTTTTAATCCACTCATGAATTGATGGGCACTTGGGTTGTTTCCATAGCTTTGCAATTGTGAATTGTGCTGCTATAAACATTCGAGTGCAGGTGTCATAAAGCAAAGAACTCTGAACTGAATACACTCTTTAAAGCATAATTCCATTAGCAAGAAAGAGGTCACATCTATTATCTCCTTCTCTACTAATGCATCCTATGGTCTCATCTTTCTGGCTCTCACCTCACACTGGTATTTCCCGCTCAGCTTCTTATCAACTAAAAGCTCAACTTCTACCACTCCAACTTAATTGAGATATCCACACACTTCCCTTTTACCAAGTATCCATACACTTCTCTCTTTCCTCATTAGTGCCCATCTTTCTCTTAATCTCCATAGTGTACGTTTTTCACCATCTGACCCATTTCTTTCACCCTCAGCAAGTTTGCTAATAATTTTCCATTCTGATTTGTGACCCTCATGTGGCTTTTTTCTCTACCTTCTCAGGAAGCATTCTTCATGGACTGACCAAATATCACCCTATGACTGAAGGGATAGCTGACAATACCCTAGTTTCTAATAAAGTTTCCTAGATATCTCAAGCCTCATCATTATCTTACCTGGAATTTCCTCTGCAGAGACTTGTGGGCAGACAAGTATAGATGTGAAATGGAGATGGCAAGATTGGTCCACACTGACCTACAGCTTGACTACTGATGATCAAAACAAGCCTTTGCTGAGGTCTTCATCAGTCTTCCTTTCCTAAGCCTGGAAACCTCCATTTACTGGCGGAATGGCATAGAAGGTATTGCCCTGACACAGTCATCCTTGCTCATACTAATTACCCCAGTGAAAGAGCATCACCAGGAGAAACAGGACATGTACATGTTGAGATTTTCACATCCATCAGCACTTGCCAGAACAGATTAAGTACCTGAACTTCTTTAGCCTCTACTAGTTGGGCCTTGGAATCATGCATATGCTTCCTCTGTCTCTAAATATATATTTAAGCCAAACCTCCATCCCAATATAAAAGCTTGGGCAATAAAAATTTCTATTAATGCTACTTTATTAAGAAGGCAAATTTAATACCAGCTTAATCATCAGTGCGTTCAGATGCAAAGGAAAATCTGTTTGGGGTTTTCTGTTGTTTTGGACCACTCAAGGCACTCTCTTCTGAGCTTTATAGCTCCTTCCCTACTTCATAAGATATAAACTTGGCTTATGTAGTCATAGGCCCTGCAGAGTCTTCCTGACTGCATAAATGCTTCATTAATAGTAATCACAGTGGCTAGAATGAGAACAGACTTCACCTGATGTGAGCTAGTCATGGAAACGGAGCACCATCTGTGAGAGAGAAAACATCCCCTAACCCAGAGGACCTATGATGTCAGCTGAGGCAAATTGAGGACACTCAATAGATGGCATCAGGGATTCCAACCCAGAGGACACATCTT